TTAAAAAAATTATTTATTTACATTTCTTAATATATATACATATATGTATAACAAATATTAGTAGATGAATATTAATATTAAAAAATTATTTAATGTAATTTACAATAGTAGATTGTAAAATCTTTTGCAGATCAATCAACCAAAGTTTCTGGTTCTCCACAATCTATCCCGTGGAACTTGACGAAATCAGCGGCTCTCGATAGAAGCCAAGGGACGAAAGTCTCGCAACAAAATCATTTTGCTATAATTGAGGAGTTGATGGATGAGGAAGCCGAATTGATTGGAGCAAATTCCCAAAGACAGTTTTAAGACAAAAGAAAAAAAACGGGAGGCAGAGTGGTGTCAAGAGCATTGTTAAACCAAACGAAGGCGATTGCCAACTTCGACTCAATCAAACAACCCAGTTGGATCTGGGTCTGGTGACCAAACTTGGCCAGTCGAAGAGAAAGAAAGAGAAAAAAAAAAGGGAAGAAGATGAATCGAGAGGGTGAGAGTGATAAATTCATTTTGTTTATTTTTATTTTTTTAAAAATATAAATATTCACATGATGTGATATTTTTATTTATATAATATAATTATAAAATACATTATTACCACATCTTCAAAAGATTTTAAAAAAAATGCCACTATCTTCCACTCTTCCACTACGTATTGGCATATACATACATCATATTTATTGCATGTCAATTTCCACATGCACTTGACAAATGTGGTCAAGAAAATGTAACTAAGGAAACTTGCAAGCAGTTGCAAGGAAGTGATGGATGGAAAGGATTGAAAAACTCCAATTATTTTTGACTTCTTTATAAAAGGTTCAATATCAATTTACATACATCATATTTATTGCATGTCAATTTTCACATGTATTTGACATATTTGGTCAAGAATATGTAATTAAGGAAAACTTGTAAGTAATTGCAAGGAAGTGATGGACGGAGAGAATTGCAAAACTCAAGTTATTTTTGACTTCTTTATAAAAAATACAACATCGATTTACATACATCATATTTATTGGATGTCAATTTCCACATATATGGCAAATTTGGTCAAAAAAATGTAATTAAAGAAACTTGTAAGCAGTTGTAGGGAAGTGATGGATGGAGAGGATTGGAAAACTATAGTTATTTTTTACTTCTTTATAAAAGTTCCAACATCAATTTTGCTACTTTTTAAAATAAATAATTTTTCACCAAATGTATTTCTTTTTCTCCAAACTTTGGTTTCCACCACTTGCCCACTCGAAAATATATGGTAAGTTGACTTTCTTTATTCTTTATCTTTAATTTCTATTCAAGTTTAGAAGAACGCTTATTAAAATAGAATATTGTAAAGGTGAATAAAGATCAATCAATGTATAAAATATAATATTTCTTTAAGGAAAAAGATGGAGTTTAAGAATTTTCTCTATCACATTTATACAGCCTAGGCAAATGTAACCAATCATACACAGCTTATATAAAGAATCAAAATAATGCCCGCAAGCAAAATAAATCTTGTTGGTGTAGGATGAAGATATGTATCAAGATTTTTGTTGTAGAGGCCACCCATGCATTCTAAATACCCAATTAAAATGGTTAAGTTTATAATTGTGCTAAAAATAATTATCCCACAAAGAAGAATGCTACATAAAAAAATTCATTTATATAAGGTAAACATTGGAACATGATGATATTTGACTTGTCATGAAGAGTACTAAAAGAGGTAAAATATTAAATGATGCTCATCAATGAGTATAAAAATGATGCTCATCGGTGAGTTAATATCTATACTAAAGATAACATTTTACTCATATTTATCAGTAATTTAAATTGGTGCTTAAGATTTAGTCTTATTAACCTATACAATTATCATAAGAATAATTTATTTTTAGTAAAAATGTTTTAACTTGAATGTTACACAAGAGCAGAAATATGAATTATTATTATCAGTTGTTAAGTTTCATTTAGCAAATTGAACCACCAAATGAAGCATCTCATAGGATGAACAATATAAAAGCATATTCCTATATGAACAAATGCATGCTCTCACAGTAGCATTGATTTCAAAAAGTTACATGTGAAAGAGATCGCATGATTGCTGGCCGCATGCATTTTCTTTTTTAGTTTTATTTTTACTTAAATACATTTTAGACTTTGCCTATTTATTAATTTTTTATATTTTTATATTTCTAAAATAAATTGAAATGATTAATAAAAAAAGTCAAAAATATATTTTATGTATCAAAAAA